TTTTTATTGTCTCTATATGTCTGTATCTCTAAATGTCACCCACTATGCTAAGTACATTTAAATGCGTTACTCATTTAATCACAACAATCCTAAGAGGTAGATAGGATTTTACCACTGGAAAGCTGAGGCCCAGAGAAGTTAAGTGACTAGCCCCAGGTCACACAGCTCATAAGCTGGGATTTGAGCATAGACAGACCAATCCCAGACCCCCTGCTCTTGACGGCTACATTGTGCTGCCAGATGAGGGGTTCAGACTAAAGGCTTGTTGGGTGGCCATATGGGTCAGGTGAGCCTTCAGGTGTGAGTAGAAACTAGATGGAGGAAAATATCTACTAAGTTGGAGAAACTCTGGATAGATGTATGACACCATCAGACAAACTGGAAAGGTAGTTTAGGGCTAAATAGAGCATTCAGACTCCATAAATGAGGTGCCAGGCACCTCTGGAGGCAACCTAATTCCATTTTCAGATGGCCAGGGTCACTGGCAAGGTCTCTCCAGCTTTAGGACCTAGTCTGCCTCCATGTAGTTGGGTTTTGTTATTGTTACTGTTGTTCTCATTATTTAAAATTGTTTTCACTACTCTCATTTTTATTTACTTAGATTTGCTGGTGGCTATGTACGGAAAATGATCCTACTTTCTCATTTATGATAGTGGCATTTTTTCTTTATTTTTTTCTTCCAGTTTTGTTGAGATATAATTGACTACAGCACTGTATAAGTTTAAGATGTACAGCATAATAATTTGATTTACAGATGTCATGTAGTGATCATCACAGTAAGTTTAGTGGATGTTTCATATAGATACAAAATTTAAAAAATAGGAAAAGATATTGTGTGTGATGAGAGCACTTAGGACTTATTCTTTAAAAACTTTCAGACAGAACATACAGCAGGGTCAATCTTGTGTATCACATTGTACGTTACATCCTAGTATTTACTTATCTTACAACTGAAGTTTGGACCTTTTGACTGCCTTCATCCAGTTACCCCTACCACCATCCCCGCTGCCCCTCCTCTGGTAACCATGAATCTGATCTCTTTTCCTATGAGTTTGTTTGTTTTTGAAGTGTGATTGACCTACCTATGTTAGTTGCACAACATAGGGATTCAATAGTTTCATACATTTCAAAATGATCACTGTAATAAGTCTAGTTATGATATGTCACCATCCAGAGATTTACATAGTTATTAACTATATTCCTCACACTGTACATTTCATACTCATGACTCATTTATCTTGCAACTAGATGTTTATACTTCTTAATCTCGCTCACCTATTTCTCTACTCCCCTCTGGCAACCACATGCCTCTGTGTACTTTTTAATCTTCTTTTCCTAGATCTGCCCTGAGGAACTGCATGGATCAGCTCCTTCCTTTTCCACTCAATTCATTTTCATGTATTTAAATATGGGTCTCATTTCTCCATCATTATTTTATAGTGTCATTGCCTGTGACTTAGCCAGAAGTTTTCATATTCCTTCTAGATGCATTTTAGAAGCGCTTTTTTTTTTCCTTAAAGGGATGAAAGATGAAGCCCTAAAAAGATAAGACTTGAAGAAAGCAAGGAGGGGAGGGTATAGCTTAGTGGCAGAATGCATGCCTAGTATGCATAAGGTCCTGCGTTTAGTCCCCAGTACCTCCATTAAAGATGAATAAATAAAAATCTAATTTAAAAAATTAAAAATAAAAAAAATAAAAAGATGATGAAAGCAGAACCCCTATAGCCAATTGATTAGGAAGTATACTAAGGTGAGGGGGTGATTTCTGGGCACAACTTTATAGTCTAACTTAGAAATCCTATAAATAGCTAGTGTTTGCTGAATACCCATGATTTGCCAAGGGCTCCACATGCATCACCTCATTTCATCCTCTGGGAGTCCTGGGGGAGATTCTTTGGTTGTCATCCCAATTTTGACAGGTGAGAAAACCAAGACTCTAAGAGGTTAAATTACCTGCCTGACCTCATCAACTAATAAGTGGCCAAGCTTGGACTTGAATCCAGGTGTGGCTGAGTCCAGGGCCCACCCTGGAGCAGCTGCCCCGTGCAGCTTACAGCACCCTGCCCAGGACCTTTGTGGGAGGTCTTCTGCCTATGAGAGGAAGTCCTAGCCCATCCTGAACATGCAGCTTAGTCCTTGAGGGGGGAAAAAGAACTTTCCAGTCTCATAGACATGTTGCAGGGCAGCGGGGAGTGGAGAGCTTAGAGGGGAAGCTCGCCCTGGGGCTCCCTCTGAGGAGACCATCCACTTGAAAAAAGCAGCCTTAGAGGAGACTTTGAGCACATAGAACCAACTGGAATAGGCAGCTGGGAGACAGCCAAGGAATACAGGACAAAGCCAGCTACATTGTCAGCACTGAATGTCAACCAGTGTGGTGACCTCATGTCAGAGTGCAAACAAAACATGGCTTAGTGCAAAAATCCCTGGACACTGAGAGTTCTCTGTCCCCTTGGATGACCATTACAATTGGGAGGCTTCAGGTCCTTGGAGATCTGCCTTATTTGAGTGGCCATAATGTGATTTTTTTCCAGCAGCAAGCATCTAAAGTTGAGAAGGTGTTTTTTACCACTGCAGTACCAGTAGCCAGTAGCACAGGTATGTGATTCTGTGTTAGTTTTAAAAGAAAGTCAACTCTGTGGGCTCCTTGTGGGCAGTTAGTTGATTGTTTCTTTGCCCCCAGTTTTTTAAATTTAAAATTAAATTTATCACATTTTTTATCAGAGTATTTCATACTCTCACAACTCTTGAAAGTTACTGCACTTATGACTTAATACCACATTTAACATTCTGTAACTAGTAATGGCTCTTTCCCTTTCAGATATAGCCTTTAATGTAGCCAAAAAAAAAGGTTTGAATCACAGTTAATGCTAAAGAGAGCAGCTGTTAATTCACTGGACTCTTTTCTAATTACAGTAATGAAACAGCATCTGGGTCAGAGACTCCTATAATGCTGAAAGATCTCAAACTTTTTTTTTTAATTGCAGTGTAGTTGACTTACAATGTTAGTTTCAGGTGTACAGCAAAGTGGTTCAGTTATACATATACATACATATATATTTTTCCTCTTCAGATTATTTTCCATTATATGTTATTACAAGAAATTGAGTATAGTTGCCTGTGCTATACGGTAGATCCTTGTCCTTTTCTCAAACTCTTTACCTTATAGATTAAGAAACTCGGACCCTGAAAGATTACTTGACTCCCGCAGTCATAAGTGAGTTTGTGAAAGAGCCAAAGCTAGTTCTGAGGCCTCCTGACTCCCAGTCTTTTCTCCTGCCCCTTGGTCTCTAGCTCTTTTGAGACACACAAAGTCTGTCTGAATTCAGAGTGTGCGTGTGTACAACGCAGGTACGCAAAACCCAGGAGTGTGCATGCACGCAAGGCTGGTGGGGTGCAGAGAGTTACTGACTGTGTATCAGAGGCCTGCAAAGCTAAGCAAGAGATCCTAAGTTCAGAGCAAAGCTAAGCTCAGAGCTCCGGGGCAGGCTGGACTAAAGGGTCCATACAATGTGGAGTAGGTAGCTCTGTGCCAGTGGTCCTCATGCTGGTCCTTAGGTATAAGCCCGCTGCAGACACTGCCTGGAGGCATCAGGAGAGGATGCTGGGTGTTCAGAGGTAAGAGTAAGCATTTAGGCAAAGGGAAGAGCCCCTAAGCCAAGAGCTGTGAAGAACCTGTCAGGAGAAGGGAGGTGTCCACCGTGGCTGGCATGGGAGAATGGCCAGAAATGAAGCTGGAAATACAGGGTGTATCTAAGGTGGTGTGTGGCCTTCCAAGGAAGAGGGACTCTGTCGTGGAGGGGTTGGGGCATGTCAGAGGCTTTTTACCTGAGGAGGAACATGGTCCAGTTGAAAGCAGCACAGATCCTGGAGCGTGGCTTCTAGCCTTCCCGTCCTTCCTGCCTCCATGGTGCTCAGCTCTCAGCTAGCCTTTTACCCTCCTGTCCCTCTTGCCCTCGCCCTGCGGCTACTTGAAGAGCAGTCTCTCTCGCCTCTCTCGCAGGGAGCGCTGTCCAGCAGATTGGCCTCAGTGTTCCTGTGATCATCATCAAACAAGAGGAGGCCTGTCAGTGTCAGTGTGCGTGCCGGGACTCTGCCAAGGAGCGGGCAGCCAGCAGGAGGAAGGGCTGTTCCTCCCCACCCCCTCCAGAGCTGAGCCCCCAGCGTCCCGATGGGCCCAGCTTGAAGCTCCCACCACAGACCTTTTCCCCGCCCCCCATCCCCCTTTCGTCCTCTGCTGCATCCTCTTCCTGTGAGCCAAGCAGTCAAGCAGTGACTCCTTCAGACCCTCAGACAGAAACACTACGTGCCGTGGATATGTCAGAGTTTCTGTCTCTCCAGAGCCTGGACACCTCGTCCAATCTGATCCCCATTGAAGCACTACTGCAGGAAGAGGAGGAGATGGGCCTGACCAGCAGCTTCTCCAAGTGAAAGGCCCAGAAGTGCTCATCTCTGGGACAAGAGGATGAGCAGGGAGCAGAAAGTGCGATGCCTACCATCATGGGGTCAGCAGTTTGAAGGATGAAGGATGAAGAAATCTACTGTTTGAAATCCTCACCTTTCAGATGTATTTTCTCTATTCATATCCCAGGAGCATCCATTTTTAAGGAACTGATCTTTGGAAAAAAACAAAAAAACAAAACGAAAAAAAGCTAAGTTATAAATGAACTGTTTGGCTGCACTGTATGTCACTTTTGCTTATTGTCATGTGAACTTGGAAGTTAAGGTTACTCGTATGCATAAAAATTCTAAATGAAAGGGTTGTGGTTTCCATCAATCTGATGCTGCCCATCACGTGCACTGCAGTCTTTGTGGTCTGGGCAGTAGAGTTCAGTGTGTCGGATGTTGCTCCTCCTGGTGTGTCTTTTGAGACCAAGGCTGAAGCTTGCTTGGAAGGCCAGATCCTCACTCCATCAGAGAGGGAGGTGGCAAAGGCAGGTCAGACGGTGAGATGGTGAGATGGTTTTGTCGTCTGTGCTTGGTGTCGGTGGAGCTCAGGGTGATGGTGGCAGGTGCCCTGCAGCCAGCTGCAGCACAAACGGGCAGCTGAAAGCCTGGCCTGAGACAGTGGGGATGGTCTGCTTCTTCGCAGGGGCCCTAGGCAAGTTGTTGACTGATCTCTGTCAATGACACGTGTGCAGAGCAGGCTCCAGCAACACGATCACAGTCTTTGCCTTCCTGGTTCGCTGGCTCTCTCCATTGGTTGGTTGCCAGGACTTGCAGATCACAGTGATTTTTTTTCTTAGGGAACATCCCTGCTCTGTCCTAGCGTGGACACACGGCTTATGGCCAGTTGCTGGTCGGTGGTCTGCCTTCCTTGAATGGTATCTTCTTTCTCAGAGCAGAAGAGCTGCATTTTGCTGATCAGGAGAAGGTGTGGCTTTACCGGAGTTTTGTTCGGGCAGCATGTCGTCAGCGGGCCAGGTCTCCTGGTTCCAGGTTCCAGCCAGGCTTTTGGTTGCCCCTCCCGGCTCCACCTCTCACCCCGCGGGATTTTGTATACAGCCTAGTACAGTGCAAAGAAGGATGTGACTTGCTCAGCTTAGTCATATGATTTCTAAACAAACAAAAAAGAAAAAAAAAAAACACAAAGCGATGATCTTCTACTCAGGGTAAAACAAAAACTTCCCCTCCCACCAAAAAGCCTGAAATGTTGCAATAAGTTATCTCATTTGGAATGTTGCATTAAGTTGTGTTATAGGAAAAAAAATTTTTTTTGATTTGTGTGTAGAATTATATCCATCTGTCTGCCTTTGGCTCCGAGTCATTGCCTCTTAAAATAAAACATAAAATACAATCCACGCTAAAATTGAAAGTTTCTCTCAAGTGGCTATATTCATTTAGTCATGCGTGCTCTCCAAGCCCAGAAACTAGGCATGGCCCAAGGTCTAGACTAGGCCTCTGCCTCCCAAGGCCCCTTCCCTGCCTTGAGCCAGGAGCAGGATTCCACAAACCTGGCTGCCCCTCCGAGTCAATGATGTCGGGCAGAAAGCAGCTGTATTTTGCCTTCCTTTCCCAGCCCCTGAGGTAATGAGATCTGCATTTGTCTCTCTCCTGTTCTCTGAGCCATTACTCAAGGCCAGCCAAGACAGTGTCTAGAGTAGATCATTTACCTGGGAGCCAGACACCCTGCCTTTGACAGGATGTTCAAGGACAGATTCGGACAAGAGGGCAGTGGTGGTAAATGTTACTGCCATGAGAGGAAATGAGCGTAACTTACAAGCAGCTGGTGGTGTCTCATTCTAAGAGTCTAGTCGGGAGAATCAGTTTCTTTTTGACCCTCTGCACTCCCCTGTCCAAAAGGCTGGTGGGTTCTGGCGACCACTGACCTCAGCAGAAGTAGATAAGGCAAGAGGAAACTTCTGTTACCACAGTAGGTTCGTCTTCCCAGAAAAGCAACTGCTGAAATGTGGGTTGTCCTTGGCTGTCTTTGGGCCTCGCACCCATAAGAAGCTTTGAGGTAGGATCCTGGCTATTTTCTGTACACCTTCTGAGAGAGAGTAGCATGGTGGGGTCTCAGATTCCCTCCTCATGTGCCCATCCCTAGGCTCACCTGAGATTCGGTTCCCTGGTTGCTGAGTTGGGAAACAGAAGCCCAGGGAAGGCCATTGGAATCACCCATAGTTTAAATATTGCTTCTTTCTGGTTCATCTAGGCTGTGCTTGTGCTGGGCCTGCCCAGGTCAGTGGCTTTTCCGCTGTCCAAAGTTTGGGGGTGATGAAGAACAGTGTTTAGGTTGACAGATTTTTCTAGTTGAAGTATCTGCCTTTTGAGGGTGACTTGAGTTTACAAGGGGGGTTATCAGATCCAGTCGGCTTTTGAAAAATCAGGAGTGTGCTTAAAATGCCAGCGAGTAGTTGTAAAGGGCAGGTTTACTCCACAGGGTAGGCAGTCTCTCCTTTCCTTCTCTGTCTTCTAGTACCCTCCCCCTCCACCCACCCCCTTCTTTCAGCCTGGCTTTTAGTGCCAAGAACCTTGAAGAAGAAAGGGCTGCTGGCTAAAGTGGAGCCACAGAGGGCCTTTGTGGAGAGTGGTTTCCAAACCTAGGAATGGATGGAGGTTGAGGTTAGAGAAGGTTTGCCGACTTCTGGCAGGTGAAATCAAGCCTTTTTTCTTCCCATGATAACCTTAATCATTTTCACCCTGTAGACTGAGACTTCCAGCTCCCACTGGCATCTCCAGCTCTACTGCCCCTTTACAGGGTGCTAGTCAGCACCAGGAATTGGAGTTCATGGGCATAGGAGGTGGTAGGAAGCTTTGGCTGGCACCGCCAAACTGCCTTAGTGAATTTGGCCCTGCCTTTCCTGGCAGTCTGGCCAGCCTTGTGGGGGCATCACTAGTTTGACAACAGGAGTTGGTGTCATTCAGCAAACCACCACCACCCCACCTTAATAAGGAGATGACCGTACAAAGCCCAGGAAGGGCTCTAAGGTGTGAAGACCTCTCTGGGTGGAAGCAAGGGACTTCACCACCTCCAGGAGAGTCAGTAGATTGGAGAGTTTTACCTTCAGGGTCAAGGCAGTGGACTGATGGGGATAATGGAGGGTGGGTGGGTTTTCCTGAGAGACTTTGTATAATGCTGAATGTGTCCAAAGGGACAAGTTTGCAGAACCTCATATTGGTATATTACAGAAATAATAAAGTAAAAAAGCACTTTAGGTTATTTTATCTTTAACCCAGTTGCTGCAATTTCTTTGTGTGTGTGTGTGTGTGTGTGTGTATGTATGTGTGTGTGTGTATATATATATACATACATATATATACTTTCACAAAGTTTTTATTTTTTGCTCAGAAAAAAAAGTTAAATTGAGGTGTGAAAAGAAAAGCACTTACCTTGGTGCAATATGTGTAGCTTGACGGTTGTTGTCCCATGTGGCCCTGGCCTGGCTGCATTTTTCCACTCGATCAGCCCCGTGCTATGAGGCTGTCCATAGGGAAACACTATTATGCATTCTTATCAACTGCTCAATCTATGCAAGCCTTCCCTGTGTGCCCAAGGGCGCCCCCTCAGGCTCTCTGAAGAACTGCTGCAGGTCCTGTTTCCTTCTGCTGACTGAGGCCCTTTTTCATCACTTCTTGGTCCCTTGCCATTCCCCAGACCCTTAACCATTACACAGTGATGCCTGAAAGGAAGAAACAGGTTGTTCCTAGGTAGACACCTGGCACCTTTTAGACTTTTATATTTGTAATCACGTCTTTAAAGACTTCTCCAGAGTCACTGAAACCATTGATTTGTGGAACTGCAACATTATTGCTAATGAATTTACAGTTTTCCTACACCACCAATCAGAAATATGTTTGGGGAGGTGATGGTGGTAGTGGCAGGGGTAGGGTGGAGGGTAACATGAGCCATTTCCATACTGCTCCCCATCCCAGCCCTGTTGGCTCTTCAAGCAAAAAGGCCTCCAGCCTCATTAAATCCAGTAAAGAAAGCTGTTAATAATCTGCTTTAACAACTTTCTTCCTTCCCCCCACTCCCCCTCTTCCCCCTCTCCCCTCTCCATTTTATCTTCAATTCTCAGGCTGCTAAAGAATACAGAAGTTTTAAAATATCCTTAAGCCAAAGCAGACAGAGCTCCATAGATCCAATATGCAAATGGTTCTGCTGTGACATAGATGGGAAATTGTCTATTCCTAAATGCTGGGGAGGGGAGAGGCAACAAAACAGAATTACACATATTTCTGATTGGTAGTCAGTTCAGCCTGTTTCCTCTTGCATATTTTGAGGGGTGAGGGAAAGGGTACCGTGCTTCTTCTCATGCCTTTGGGGAAGCTGATGATCAGTTTGGGCATTTCTCACTGTTACTCCTATTCAAGAGAGGGCTTCTCAGTCTGCACTGAAAAATGCAAATTAAACTGGATCTTTATGTCAATATGTACATAGTACAAGCTTTTTTACTGGAAGCAAAGTTTAAAACCACACACTGCCCTTTTGGTGGTGTGCCTTCTGGGCCTCAAATTGGGTGAAAATGGCATGTCACTTTCTCAGCTCAACGCAGTTTCTACTCGTTTTCTTATGGGGAAATTTTTCATAAAATCTTTTTTCACCAAAAGCCAGGGGTGTTTTCTGCAATACCCTTGTTATCCTCCTAGTGGTGCCAAGAGGCCTCTCTTGCCCTTTTCCCTTGTGTCCTCAGGCCTCCCCAGGGCACTGTTTGACTCAACAGTCTACATCCTTTGTTGTGTTTTGGAGAATGTAGGGGTGGGGGTTAGAGTTCAAGGGTTAGAGTTCCCTTTCCCTGTGAACTCCTAGTCCCTGTTTGGGGAAGGTGGCTGGAAATAGGTTTTTGCTAAATCTCTGGCTCAGACCTTCTGGCCAGGAGAGGCAAGACCCACGAGAGCTTTGTTTTTTTGACACACACTAGTCATTGGCCAGAGGTCTTGGCGACAGTTTTTAAAATCCCAAATAGTTTTATTTGAATTATGTAAAAGCCTATCAAATTTATTTAAGTGTGAAACATGGGAACAACGGACTTCACTGAGCGATATGAAAACGTTACAGGTTCAGTACTTCCAAAGGAAGAAACCTCCAAACCCAAAAAAGAATAAATATGAATTTGTATTTTTGAAGAATGTGAAATAATAGTGTTTGCTTAATTGCTCATTTTGTATAAACTTAATATTGTACTTTAAAATATCTGCTAAGAAGTGAAAATTTAACTTTTTGGAATTGAAAAAGCAATATTAAATACTAATGAAATCCTAATTAAATGCTTATTTAAATCTGGTAGCATCTGTGGCATTTCTTCCCAACCCCACCCATGGTTGACAATTTTCAACTACTTCCCCCTCCTCCCCAGCCATCAAAGTCTTAGAGAGGGGACAGAAAGGAAAGGTCGGTCACCAGGAGAGTCTGCAGGTTTCCTTTTAATCAAGGCTCTGCTAAAAGTGTTCTGTGGGGCTAGGAGCCCCCAAAGCATGAAATGGACATGTAACACCACCGGATCCCCCAAAGCAGGCCAGACCACGCTGGCGAGCACTGTTGGTCCACCCAAATCCGGGTAATCAGACTGGGTATTCGCTGGCTACATTTCAAAGCTCAGCACTGCCTTCAGCCAGGATGAAGTGGGAGTGAACCCAGCTGCTAGCAGAGCTGCCACCCCAGGCTGAGAGCCAAGTACCAGCCACTGCCTGTGAGGACTGGCCCCTTTATTGTAAAGGGAATTGTTTAGAGTCCAGCCACCAGCCCCGGGGAGGGAGAGAAGTCAGGGCGCCCGCCTCGGGGATGGTCAGGGCTCCGCAGCTCCATCGCCAGTATCCTTTGGAAAGCCACCTCTGGCGGAGACAGCTGGCTGGGAGGGTGCTCCAGGTTTGGCTGAGACGTTCTGGTTGGAGCAGGGGGGAAAAAAGTGAGGCTAGGAGGAAAGGCCTTGGACTAGGCCCCACAAGAGATGGCCACTTGGCATCTGGCTAGCACTTAACTTTTTCAAAGCCTCTCGCCCATTTGAAAGGCGTAGGGGGTAAAGCTGTGGAGGCACTTCCACCCTCCAGGGGAAGCTAGGGCTTAGCAAGTGCGGCCAGTGGGCAGTCCCCACCTCCCAGGCCCAGCTTGGGGTGGCCACTGACCCCGCCACCAGCCGGCTCCGAGCGCCGGCGGCCCAGCTGCCGCAGCATCTCCTCGCAGGCGGCGATGGTGTCCAGAAGCTGCCGCTGCCGCTGCTCCACCGCGTCCAGCAGCTGCTGGGCGCGCTCATCCC